CTGCTTGTAAAGAGAACCGAGTTCCCGGAGCACACGAGGATGCTGCAGAAGGTCAAAGTGTTAATTATTAATCTGAAGAGCTGCTTTGAGGTTCCCATCTGTTATGTAGCTCCCATAAAACAGAAGGTACACAATATGAGCTTTGCAGTGAAAAAGAAAAAAATCCCATGAAATGGCAAAACTGCACAAAGCTGAAATCAAACCAAGCTGCTCAGGGCTTTGTCCATTTAGGTCTTGAAAACATCCCAGGATGGAGGTCATACAACCATGCAGGGCAACCTGCCCCAGTGCCGGATTAGTTCATAGCGGGAAGTTTTTCCTTATTTCCAGATGGAAACTCTTGTTTCAATTTATGTCTGTTTTTTCTCATTCTCCTGCCATGGACTGCTAGGAAAAGTCTAGCTCCATCTCCTGAAGAACCTCCTTGTAGGCACTGGGGGGCTGCTATCAGTCAGTCCCCAGCCTTCACCAGTGGAAGGAGTTAGTCCATCCTGGGTGAGTCCATGCTGTGTTAGACCATCCTAGGTGAATCCATGCCAGGTGAGTCCATTCCAAGTGCAGGACTTTGCATTTGTCCTTGTTGAATTCCATGAGGTTCTTGTCAGCCCCAGCCTGTCCTGGTCCTCCTGTATGGCAGGCCCACCCTCAAAGTCATTGACTGTTCCCCCAGGTTTGGTGTCACTCATAAATTTGGTGAGGTGAATTTCATCTCCTCCCCCAGGTTGTTTAAAAATGTTAAAAAGGGAAGGTCCCAGGATAGTTCCAGCCAGTTTCCTACCCAATTAGCAGTCCACCCAGATGGTGGGTGGACTAGAAACTAGACAGCAGTTTCTCTTATGTCTTTGATACAAGGATGCTGCGGGATATCATCTCAAAAGCCTTCCTGAAGTCAAAGAAGACAACATCCACTACCCTCCCTTCACCCACAGATCTACCAGTCCATCCTTAAAGGCCACCACGTAGGTCAAGCATGATTTACCCTTGGTAAATGAATGCTGGTCATTCCCAGTCACCTCCTCCTTCATGTGCCCAGACACAGCTTCCAAGAGGATGTGCTTTATGATCATCCCAAGAACCAAAGGGAGGCTTTGACAAAACTAGGTTCTCAGATAATCCTTCTCGATTTTTTGAAGATGTGCTAGAGAGGGAGATGTGCCTTGGAAGAGGGAGAGATGTCTTCCTATCTCATCCTTGCCATGCAGATGCTCAGACCTACAAAACGGTCCTGAAGACACTCTGTTCCACCTGGCAGATCAACGAGTGTTGATGGCATTAGGTACCACACACTGCATTCACAAATACACACCAGGGCCCACAGTGCTTTCTCCCATGCCCCCTCATCAAAACGAAAAGGGCGCTGTAAAAGAGAGCAGCCCAGGCTCCAGATTAAACTCAATCTAAAGCCACAAATAAAATGAAGTATTTCATCAACATTTGCAACAGGTGTTGCTGACCATGAGATGCGTCCCTGCAAGGACAG